AAAAGGGGCGTAATGTCATGCTCTGACAATGCAGCGCGTTTCAAAGGGTTGCCTCTCTTCTTATAGCGTAATAACTGTTGTATCGCATAGTTTCAAGGTGTTGTTATTTTTTTCAATAGCGGACGCTACAACATTTTTCTCAGAATGCAAATCTGTTCCATAGAGAGTCATTCTTAGCGGGGTTTTTTTAATAAAAAATTGACGAAAATTGTGTTATAATATTATAACAAACCGCCAGTCAACTTAAATATGGCTCCTTAAAAAATTCCATAAAACAAACCCTAATGATGCTGCTGAATATGGCTCATAAATAAAGTCTATTAAACTAACCCTAGTGATGCCGCTGAATATGGCTCATAAATAAAGTTTATTAAACTAACCCTAGTGATGCCGCTGAATATGGCTCATAAATAAAGTTTATTAAACTAACCCTAGTGATGCCGCTGAATATGGCTCATAAATAAAGTTTATTAAACTAACCCTAGTGATGCCGCTGAATATGGCTCATAAATAAAGTTTATTAAACTAACCCTAGTGATGCCGCTGAATATGGCTCATAAATAAAGTTTATTAAACTAACCCTAGTGATGCCGCTGAATATGGCTCATAAATAAAGTTCATTAAACTAACCCTAGTGATGCCGCTGAATTATACCTGTTTGTCGTCGCACTCATTGGCCACATGCTTTTTATTTTTAAACCTTTTGCAGTGATTTATCCATGTCCGCCGACCTCTGTTGCTAAACTGTTGTATACCAATAGAAAAGTTGCTAAACTGTTGTATACCAATAGAAAAGTTGCTAAACTGTTGTATACCAATAGAAAAGTTGCTAAACTGTTGTATACCAATAGAAAAGTTTCTAAACTGTTGTATACCAATAGAAAAGTTGCTAAACTGTTGTATACCAATAGAAAAGTTGCTAAACTGTTGTATACCAATAGAAAAGTTGCTAAACTGTTGTATACCAATAGAAAAGTGTCTAAACTGTTGTATACCAATAGAAAAGTTTGCTAAACTGTTGTATACCAATAGAAAAGTTGCTAAACTGTTGTATACCAATAGAAAAGTTGCTAAACTGTTGTATACCAATAGAAAAGTTGCTAAACTGTTGTATACCAATAGAAAAGTTGCTAAACTGTTGTATACCAATAGAAAAGTTGCTAAACTGTTGTATACCAATAGAAAAGTGTCTAAACTGTTGTATACCAATAGAAAAGTTTGCTAAACTGTTGTATACCAATAGAAAAGTTGCTAAACTGTTGTATACCAATAGAAAAGTTGCTAAACTGTTGTATACCAATAGAAAAGTTGCTAAACTGTTAGTTATAAACTGAATCCTTTTCAACTGACAGTCACGATCTTGTAAACTATAATGTCGGCCTGACCTTGCTGTGCGCAGCAGGTTTTAAATAAATCTTAATAAGCTATAACAGGTTTAAAACTGGATTATGAAAACCGCTTATTGCCCCCCCCCCAAGACCTCCACACCCTCCCTCTCAAAAATTTTTTAAAAAATTACCCTCTTAGTTTTTGCATGGTCTGTAGACAGCGTGTGTGATTATTGCCCTTGGGTGGGTCTTTGTTTGTGTGTAATTCTGTTTCCCTGGTATGATATGTAAGATAGTCGCCTCCCACTAAACAAAATAAAACAAACCCTTTCACAGGAGTTCAGATGACACTCACGAAGCTCGCTGCGTAACAAACAGATTTTTTTCACTCACTACTGTGGTATTGGGGGGAGGGGGAGAATGGGGCGGTTTTGAAGAGGAAACAGGACGCAACAGAAGCAATATATATGTATATATATATATATATATATATATATATATATATATATATATATATATATATATATATACTTAATAACAAATTGCTGGCGTCACACACACTTGATATTGTTAAACCGCTTATTAAGAAAACGATTTGCTTCCCAATCTTCGTATGTGACACATAGGCCGCATCTTCTCATTTTGATTTGACACTGATTTAAATTACGCAGATTTACAATGGTCAATGGGGAAATGGGGACATATGGAGTGAATGCATTTCTTTAACTGTCACTAATACTGTAGAGACATAACTATTACTATTTGAAGAGGCCCACACCAACGAGACAGCAAAAGACTGACATCGTATTCCATGATGGAACCTCCTGAGCCGGGTCAAACTCCAATAGGACGCAGTTGACCACGGGGATAGCACGATCACGCCGCGTGGTCTTCTAACGAATGCGACACTGGACAATCAATAAACCAGCTGTAATTCCATCCTAATCACTCCTGTGCAGGAAACTTATTTATCCTTGCCCCCCCCCCAAAAAAAAAAAAAAAAAAAAAAACAACAACAATGTCTTCTAACGAATGCGACACTGGACAATCAATAAACCAGCTGTAATTCCATCCTAATCCCCCCTGTCCAGGAAACTTATTTATCCTTGCCCCCCCCCCAAAAAAAAAAAACAAAAAAAAACAACAACAACCCAATAAGCGGTGGCGTAAATCTATCAAGCTCACAGAACGTAACTCTGTTGCCTGCCCAAATAAACAATGTTTTATCTGTTAGAAACATTTTTGAAATCTCAACAACAGTTTTATCTTTCATGTAACTCAATAGCATATGTAAAAAAAAACAACTATGATTGTAATATTAATATTAATATACTTTGATCATATGGTCATTGGTGCACAGAGAAGAACACAGCTCGTACAATAATCAACAGTTTAAAATTTAGCACTCACATGACTTTAACACTGAGGTTTTATCAATAATTATAATTATTCTAGTCCATAGAATTAATTTGCGTTGACCTTGTTGGACACTATGAGCATGTTAAACTTTCTGCTTATGACACGTCAGCTTTTTTTCTCTGAGCTAATTAACAGTTTTAAGCTTTGTAATGTAAGTTTTCAGCTGTGTAAAGTAAGACTTTGTAGCAGTGTAATGTAAGAGTTTTCAGCTATGTAAAGAAAGAGTTTTCAGCTTTTTAATGTAAGAGTTTTCAGCTGTGTTTTGTAAGTTTGCAGCTGTGTAAAGAAAGTGTTTTCAGCTGTGTAAAGTAAGAGTTTTCATATGTGTAATTTAAGATTTTTTTTTAGCTGTGTCAAGTAAGAGTTTTCAGCTGTGTAATGTAAGAGTTTTCAGCTGTGTAATGTACGAGTTTTCAGCTGTGTAAAGTAAGAGTTTTCAGCTGTGTAAAGAATGAGTTTTCAGCTGTGTAATGCAAGTTTGCATCTAAGTAAAATAAGAGTTTTCATCTGAGTAAAATAAGAGTTTTCATCTGAGTAATGTAAGAGTTTTCATCTGAGTAAAATAAGAGTTTTCATCTGAGTAAAATAAGAGTTTTCATCTGAGTAAAATAAGAGTTTTCATCTGAGTAAAATAAGAGTTTTCATCTGAGTAAAATAAGAGTTTTCATCTGAGTAATGTAAGAGTTTTCATCTGAGTAAAATAAGAGTTTTCATCTGAGTAAAATAAGAGTTTTCATCTGAGTAAAATAAGAGCTCTCATCTGAGTTTTCATCTGAGTAAAATAAGAGTTTTCATCTGAGTAATGTAAGAGTTTTCATCTGAGTAATGTAAGAGTTTTCATCTGAGTAAAATAAGAGTTTTCATCTGAGTAAAATAAGAGTTTTCATCTGAGTAAAATAAGAGCTCTCATCTGAGCTCTCATCTGAGTAAAATAAGAGCTCTCACCTGAGTAAAATAAGAGTTTTCATCTGAGTAATGTAAAAGTTTTCATCTGAGTAAAATATTTTACTGTTTTTGTTGTGTTTTTTTAACTAGGTTATTTTATATTTCATGAGATTGAAGGTTCATAATTTATACGCTAGAGAAATATTTGAGATGTCCTATGTTTGAATTGTTATAATTGTAAAATAATGTCTTATTTACAATCTGTCCTTATTTTTGTGCTGAAAATGAAACACTGTAATAAAAAAAATATTTTATATCTATTTTGATAAAATAAATAATATTATCTTATATTATCTTATCTTATAATTTAAAACACTTACAGACATTATTTAAATACTCTGTCTTTTTAATTGAAGATGAATCTAGTAATTTTACAATTTTACTGAAAAAAAATTTCACCCGGAAAAAATTAATTGAACCAAAAATTATGCTTATAAAAATTATCATTAACATAGGAATTTGCCACAGCACTTAAATTGTTTATTTTATCTTGTAAATTAATTCTCCATTCTATTTATTATTAAACTCCTGAGCGATCAATCATAGTTGTAAAATTTATTTCCGTGGGCTGCATTTGAGTCTATCAAAAAGTTCACAGATAATTATAGTAGGGTTAACTGAATTTTTTCTAAAATACATCAGCGCATTTTTATCTTGGGACGTCAATTAAGACAGAAATAACACAAAGCACCATAGATCTTCATTTAAATTAGGACATCAAAAATTTCTGTCTTTTTTTTTTTCTTCAAAATGCACAATTCATATAAGAGATTATTCTTTTTGTTGTTTTTTTTCATTGATACGGTCCTGTGGTGGGAAATGAAAACTGGGTTCAGTGGGGGAAAGGGGGGGAGGGGACTCGGGAGTAAAGTTTTGAGAGAGTGAGGATTGAAATTCATGATAGTAGGGTGAGGGCGATGGGGGTGGTGGAGATGGGAGTTAGTGGCGATGGGGGTGGTGGAGATGGGAGTTAGTGGCGATGAGGGGTGTTGGAGATGGGAGTTTGTGGCGATGAGAGTGGTGGCGATGGGGGTGGCGGCATCATTTCGCCAGGCCCTTACATATGGTCGTTTGAAGAGCTACACATTAACGAGAGACTATATTGATAATTAAAATGCACCTTTTCCATCTAAAGACCAAGATTGAAACTAGGTGGAAAATCCAATTTATATAATTTTAATTCATTAAATAATTATTAAGCGTCTTCGACATGTTGTTGAAACGGTCAATGCTTCAATTACAAATGTAAGAGCGTATGACAACAAAATGTATATATTTTTTTGTTTTAAAAAAATTTAAAAGGACGCATTTTTTTCTATCATTTTCTATTTATTTTGTGCAATGAGATATTTTTCAAAGCAAAAATCACACAAAACTTAATGAGACTTAAACCTTGGAAGAAGAGAAAGAAAACAAAAAACACCAAAATTAAAACTTTAAGTTTCCATGCATTGAAGGATTTCCTCTCCGGTGCCAATTCTCCTGTCTGTTGAAGTCTCATCTACCCTAGGGCTCCTCTCATCTACCCTAGGGCTCCTCTCATCTACCCTAGGGCTCCTCTCATCTAGCCTAGGGCTCCAACTGGAGTTGAGTGTTTGGTGCACGTTTGTTTTTGCTGATCCAGGAGATGTACGGGGCCACTCGTGTGTACACACTTGGGCGATAGCCTGGACACAGACAACAAAATACAATTGTTTAAAAACTCTTCTAGATTCATCTGTTTTCGGCGTGCTTTATACAAGAATAAACTGTTGGCCTTGAAAAAGACTCAAAAGCCACAAAATTTAAATTAGAATTAGAAGAGTCCAATAAGTAACAAAATTAGAATTAGAAGAGTCCAATAAGTAACAAAATTAGAATTGGAAGAATCCCATAAATTTAAAGAAAAAAAGGATTGGAAGGGTCCCAAAAGTCACATATCAGGTTGAAGATTAAACTTTGAGTGGACAATGTCCATGTTTAAACCTATCCTGGCTGTTGTTCATGACCTTGCTTGGGTGTTTAGAGATAAAGATTTTTTTTAAATGTATCGTATAAAATAGCATAGAGATTAGAATGTTGTCTTGTTATTAGCAATACTTATTTGGAATATCAAAGAGATTTCATAAGATCAAAGAGATTTCATGAGATCAGATAGATTTCAGGAGATCAACGAGATTTCATGAGATCAAATAGATTTCATGAGTCCAAAGAGATTTCATGAGCTAAAAGAGACATCATAAGATCAAAGAGGTTTCATGAGATCAAAGAGATTCCATAACTTTAAGGAGATTTCATGAGTTCAAAGAGATTTCATCAGATCAAAAGACGCCATGAGATCAAACAGATTGCAAGTGATCTAACAGAGTTCATCCCGGTTTTATAAGACATGAGCCACTGCTGCAGACTTGCTGAATTTGATCTCGTGAGTCTTCCTTTAATTAACTTTGATTCTCGTACGTGGGCACAATTCTGACACCCATGCATCCTCTATTCGTAGATCAATAGTTTAATAAAAATGAACAAAAACATTTTCAACGCCTCCGGAATTTATTTGGCTTAGTTGGTAAAAAATGCATTACCTTATTTTAAATGTATATATATTTATATATATATATTTAAGCCTTCAACTTTGTCATAATTTTTTAGATATTGGGGTGCAAATCAAATTGTATACCCCTCCCCCACCCCACCCCAACCGTTTATCTGTTGATGGTTCTTAAAATCTACACATGGTGGGTGTCTACCGAATTTCGTGATCGTCATTAAAAAATATAGAAAATAATGTGCAGTGTGTTGTTTTACCTCCACAATTTTCGAGGCCAAAGCTGGTGATTCCTGCCAGGTAGTCCCTTCTTCTATGACTGCACAGCATGGGACCACCACTGTCTCCAGAGCAAGCAGTGGGATTTTCTCCTGGTGGATCTGTATATAAATTTCAGTCATCAAAAATTTCATGTTATAAACAGTTGTAATTTTTTTTTTTTCATTTTCAAATAACATTGAATAGCTCCAAAAAATATATTATTTTGAAATCCCTTAATCTTCTTGCAAACACAATTCGTGAATAGGCAGAAGTGCTTTTTAAGAAGCAGACATTCATTCATTCTTTCATTGGACAATTCATGTCTAGCAAATTATTATATCCGCTAAGATTTTTTATAAATTAGTTAGTTCTTAAATTGATACGGTTGTTTCCTTGGAATACATTTCCCGTGTTTTCATAAGAACTATATTCAGTGCAGATACTCTTCATTTTATTTGGCACGCCTACTGGGAACTTTCGCAACAAAACCTCAAGTACATACTTTTGAACTGTAAATATAAAACTAGCGAAAATGGCCCGTGGTTACCGGGGTAACAGTGGAAGCGATATTTTGCGATGTCTTGCTTGTGTATGTTCTTGTGTTTTCCTAACTCCACGGTTACAATACAGCTAAATTTGCACATTCAGACATATGTAGCATAAACGGATATTGATATATTGTTATTTTCATTTAAAAATGAACCACCATTTGACCGCTCATTGACTATCTGTCTGAAAAATTGTTAAAACACAGAATGGTGATACTTGAAGACGAATCTATTTACTGTTTTTCTCGCCTGTTACAGTTTTAAACTTTTAAAAAATATGGTTAATCTCGTAAACATTGACCCGCATTTTTCAACTCCACAAACAACCCCACACACGAACACAAAAACCACAACAACAACACCAGTAACAGCAACAACAAAAACAAAAACAACAAAGAAACAAACAAATTATATAAAGTTGGTAATAAAATAATTGACCAAATTGCTGTCCAGGGCAGTCCCCACATGTACCTGCCAAATGGTACACCACTGAAATCAACTGAGAGGTATCATTTCTTTTTAAAAAATCTAGAAAATCTAGATAATCTTTTTTCATTGTGTATAAACTACATGTTTCATTTTAATTTTTAAAAAGGATCTACAAACCATTTTTTCTTTTCCCAACATTTTTGTCTTTGAATTTGGATAAGTTCATAACATGCACCCATCCCTTCAAAGCGCATTTTTCTACTAAGGAACACACATATTCTGAAGAAGTTTTGAGCTGACGCTCTTAAAACCCCCAGGTAGTACATTGACAACCAGCTCCATCTGCCGTGCGGTGCCCTATAACATTGTTGTCACGCAGGACTCTTCCACTGCCCTGTCCATTCCTGAAACTCTTCTAAATCACGACATGAACACACAATTTTGGTTGCTATCTGTTTTGTAGTTTAATTTTTTTATTATTATTTTTTTTTTTACATTAATGTTGTTAAATGTATACAATTTAAAAGAAGCAACACTTCCGTTAAAGTAGTAAATAGATGAGAAAAATAGCAATATTTTTTTTAAATCATTCAAATGTATCCATAATTAGCACCTGTAGATTAATTAAATATAATTTTTAAAGTATCCAACAAATATACTTTGAATTTGTTTTGATTTTGTGATGACAATGAAAATAAAATTAAAAACTTGTTTTTTGTTCTACGTACTCTCTCCATCAAAAACACAGATGGCGTTGTCGGTAATTGCTACACCCAATGGTACAAATTCCTCCTTGCATTGCTTGAGTGTGATCTTGGTCATAGCCACCTCCATGAGGATGTTTGAGCCAGCTGAGGTTCCGGACGTTTTCCCCCACCCAGAAATGACGCACTTTGAATTGTCAAATGTCAGGCCGCCTGGCGCTATTTTTACCGGCTAAAACGAAAAGAAAGGGGAAAAAAAGCACCATAAACAATCAATTGATTTGCTTGTTTTTAAGGAACAGGTCGCCTCAATCTTTGAGGTGGATTGAACATGATCACAATCATTTAAGAAACATAAAAAGTATTTTGTTTTTCAATAGATTTTACGACATCGGAGTGCAGCGCGCATGCTAAAATAACTTGGCCACAGGCGCCATAGAAGTATGCGGTCACCATAATCATCATCATCTTTTTAGAACGTTCGTTGTCCTAATCCAAAATGTGCTGCGGCCTCTTGACGGTTGCTTATTGTTCCTCCTCCAGATCATTAAAGTACGTATTCCACACTTAAACTTTGAGGTACACGTTACACGTTAATCAATCAAAGTAAATTAAACAGACAACTTTGTCATTTTTAATGTTCTTTGTCAAAGAAATAAAAAAAATAATAATAAATTTCCATATTATTCTATGTTCTGTGTTTTACAATAACACCAAAAATGTTTTAATTGTGAAATGGAACATAATTAATATTATCACTTTTTAATGTTATTCATATTAGAACTGTTCATAAACAATTTGAAACAATTTGTCATGCAGATGACATGTTTGCGTCATCTTTCCCAGTGAATGAACTCTAGCTGACCCCAAGCAGCTCGGAACCGCATTTTAGGATGTGGTTAAATAAAAATAGTATCTTTGACCTTGTTTACATCTAAATATAAAATCTGTAGACTGTGTTTTTAGAAGTCTGAAAAATATCTTTAAAAATCAGGAAAGGAAAACACTATGTGTCAGCCCTTTCGAGAAATATCAGTCAAACAGACTTTAACGGAAAGAGAGAGAGATCTATTTTTATTGCTATTACAATAGAGCTATGCTATACGCGACAGAGATTTGTTTACTAACTTTTGCTGTGTGTGTCTAGATTCCTTTTCATCATTGCACCTTTTTACACCATTGTATTTTGTTCAACTTTGTACCGGCACGACCCAATCATTATACTGTAAATCAATAGCTTTAATTTTATTTTATTTTTTATTTTGCAATTTATTTTTAACCTAACAAAATTATTAAATTGTAATTAGCCCTAGTTTTGGGTATCGTTCCTTTTTTTATTGTATTAAGTTTATGGTATGGTGACCAAAGATTCCGTTAAAAAGGGATTGTCCCGTTTGTTCACGATCGTACCCGGAGTCCCGGACAAGTGTAAAAAAACAACAACACTTCACGCGTTTATGCTCTAATCTAATTTCCTGATATTTCCTTCAATGTGTTAGAGGCTTATGTAAGTACTACCTCGAGATTATAACCACGTCCTTAAATTAAAAATGTCAAGTGCGCCACTCACCTGAACGTTCTCATTGAAATGAAACGGTGTCTTCGTGTAGAGTATGCCGATGTCGTTGGGCATACCATCGACGATAACAGTACTGAAATTCTCGTGGGCTTTAAAGGCTTTAATGTCGATGGTCTGCTGGTATTGGTTTGGTGGTGCGGTGAGATCGAGGAGCCCAACTTTAACTCTCATGGTCTCGACCGGGAAAATCAAGCAATGGGCAGCCGTCAGAAGCTGAGGACGAGTGACGCATACACAATTGTATCCGGTAATGAACGTATGCACTTATCACTAAAATCAGTATGTATTTGTTCTTCACTGAAATGATTAATGACGTGCATCATGATGCAGTCACCACTGAAATGATAATTGACATGAAACATAATGCAGTCAGCACTGAAATAATGCCATCACTCAACTGCGATAAATGACATAAATGAAATTAAAAACGTGTAGTAAAAAAAACTCCTCACTCCAGGCAATTTTCACCCGCTTGTAATGGACAAGCTTTTAAATTTGAACTTGACCATTCATCTCATGAATTATTCTGGGTCACTACCTTATTTGTAATTTAAAAGTTTCCTTATAGAAGATTTCCCCACCAAGTCCTTTATGTTCATTTTAACTGTAATGGAAAACTCTAAAGCTGCGGAATTTTCTTTTAGGTATGTTAGTGTTAACAAAAATGATTATCTAGAATAATAATTTTACAAGTTATGTGAAGGTTTAAAAAAATGTAGAATTTTTGACGAGTTCTGTATTGTTCCACGTAGATATAAAGATTGTCTAAAGGGCATTTAAAAATCTAATGCACACTTTATTTTAATTTTATCGATTTTTTTTAACTTTCCTTGGAATTTCCCTGTCATATGAGAACAAATCTTTTATGAGTTTCTTGAAGATTCTACAACATTCTGGAATCATTTTCAACGATCTATTTTAAATAAGGCTTTTAATAAGACTTGTAACAGCGTCCTTTTAACTGTTCCTTATATTTCAATACGTCTCTACGATTGTGCTCAAATGTCAGGAAATAGGTTTAAAGAAATTTTTTTTTCAAGCTTCTAGAAAGTTCCAAATAAGTGCAGGGAGATCTAGTTCGTTGTAACTATGATAATTAAATGTAAAGCAAAAGTGCCCAAGGCAACACAAGAAGGTCCAGCCTACAATGTAAGCTTCCGCGTAAATTGTGGCACATCGGCCATATCTGGTCAACACACCTTTCATCATGCCTATACAAATATCCGTGGATTTCAAACCAATAATACCTACTTTTTGGGGGGAGGGGGGTCTGGGGGGAGGGAGCAAGGGGAGACCAATTTAATTTGAAATAAAACACTATATTTTTTTGAGTTTTTCACCCGATTTTAATGGGACCATTTGTTTTTTGAAGTTTCTTCTTTATCCAAGGTAATAATTGATGGACTGCCTTCAAGTTTTATCAATGAAATATAAGGACAAGTAAAATAAACTTGAATTCATCATCATCATCAGTAGCGCTACAGCCTATGTTGGGCCCTGGCCTGCTCCACCACGTCCTTCCGTTCGGAGCGATCCATGGCTTTCCGCCTCCATGCACGAACCCCCAATTGGTGTATATCCAACTCCACATCATTGATCTATCACAGCCTTGGGCGACCGGTGAGTCGTCTGCCCCTAGCCTTCTGCCTGCATATACCTTTTGCCGCTCAGCGTTCCGGCATCCTTTCAACATGTCCTGCCCAGCGTAGTCTGCTTTTTTTTTTGTTTTTAAACATTGTGACTATGGGTTTCTTCTTTTTATAAAATATCATTAAATTATGTTTCCCTGAAAATTTTCTTTTACTAAATACTTACTACTAATCGACTTGACCATGATAATAGATACCTAATTTGCCATCATAGTAGTGAGCTCCTTAAACATGAGAGTGGAGAGAATACTTTACCATAATAACAGCGGGGCTACTTTACCACTGATAACAGAGTGCTACTTTGAATCATTTGGAAAATAGCTTCCATCCATTTTTATCATTGTTACTATGGGTGGGGCTTTGTACAAAGGGTAACGTTTTTGCTTTGTGCGGATTCTCCAGATGGCGTTCTCTATCACTGGGACGTATACTTTTAGGAGGATTTTCCTCTCCCATGTTTTGAATTCATAGACAGGGCAAAAGATTTATAAGTTTCGGCTTAGAGCCTTCATCAGCAAACACGACAAAAAGAAGTATGAGAAGTAACAGAGCACAGTAAAATTTCAAATTGAGCATACTTTGTCCTTATCTTCTGCTTCTTTATTCAACCTTTATCATTCACTGCGATAAAACATTACAGAATAAGTTCTTTTGGCGCCGGGGGGAGGGGGGGCCTGACAGTAAAACGGCAACATCTTTGCCAAAACTTCTTCCCAATTTTCATGGAATAATTTAGAAAAATTAACTTGAATACTAATCTGAACGGATTAGAATAGGGCCCGTTTCTGAAGGAAAACTAAAATGGCTCCGTTTCGAATCGGTTCCTGCCGGAGGGATCCTATTTTATTTTAATAAATAACGGCCATAGATTTGTGATTGGTGAATAATTTTTTTTTTTAATAAGACAGATTTTAAAAAGTTGGATTTGTCCTTAAATCATAGGTTTCGGCCCGTACCCATCTTCAAAGAAACTGAAACGGGAAGGGCCAAATATTCAGTGTTTACAAGAGTTATTACAAATACGGCTTTATAAAGAGGAAAATTTTAAATTGTAATTTGTAATTTAGTGATGTGTATTTGAGAGCGCCCAAAATCATTTGCGTGTACCTAGACAATACCTTAGAATTTCCATTTCCCAATACAAACCCGAGCGAAACCGGGTAAAATGGCTGGTATAATGATTTTAGAAATGGTCACATCGATTACACATTGTGTTGGAGTGTTTAAAATAATCGATTACATATTGTGTTTGATTTTTTTTTAAAGTGAAATTGGTGTGAAGTTTTCCCACATTTAAATTAGAAAAACATTTCCATGACCACGTTTTATTTTCGCTGCAAAATAGGAAGATACGCTACCGTGATACCCTGTTGACGTGTACTCACCCTATCAACATCTATGATACTGGCGCCACATATGTGGTACCATTGGCCGAAGTACAGGACTTGCAGAGACGCCTGGTATGGTCTTTCAAATAGCTTGGTGGGTTGGCCGTTGACGATTCTCTTCATGAGTTTACTCTGCTGCTCCGTCAGTGCCAGATTAGGGGCTGTAAAAAAAATCAATATGTTTTTTTTTTTAAACGTATATCAGATTAATTTATTTAACATTTTACGTGAAACGTTTGAAAAGTCAAGAAATGCCAAAACAACGAATGAACAATTCCTGGGCGGGTTTTCACCCATTTTCCATTTTAGAAGGGAAATACAAATTATTTCAATAAAAATTGTTTGTATTTTCAATAACCCAATAAAGAATAGTTTTTCGCCAGTTTAGGTATTTACTTCTAAACAGTTACCAGTTTCTTTTCAACTTACCTACTTTCCCACAAGTGTTTAATTTGTTCAAGTCCTTGTTATTGTTGTTGTTTTTTTCATCCAGTGTTGATGCCCTCTCTTCTTAAGCTAAAATAATGTTGGTACTTACTTTATATGGCATAAGGCATTAAGTTAAAATGCCCGTCTTATTGTTCAGTTCTATAGTTACATCTTTCGCATTTCTCGTTCTTCAAAATTTGAGAATATTTACCTTTGAAATTAGTGAATTTTCGAAGTCGTATCTGCCAAATATCTACGGATAGTAGTACACCAAATCGTATCTGCCAAATATCTACAGATAGTAGTACACCAAATCGTATCTGCCAAATATCTACAGATAGTAGTACACCAAATCGTATCTGCCAAATATCTACGGATAGTAGTACACCAAATCGTATCTGCCAAATATCTACGGATAGTAGTACACCAAATCGTATCTGCCAAATATCTACGGATAGTAGTACACCAAATCGTATCTGCCAAATATCTACGGATAGTAGTACACCAAATCGTATCTGCCAAATATCTACGGATAGTAGTACACCAAATCGTATCTGCCAAATATCTACGGATAGTAGTACACCAAATCGTATCTGCCAAATATCTACGGATAGTAGTACACCAAATCGTATCTGCCAAATATCTACAGATAGTAGTACACCAAATCGTATCTGCCAAATATCTACAGATAGTAGTACACCAAATCGTATCTGCCAAATATCTACAGATAGTAGTAGATAGTAGTACACCAAATCGTATCTGCCAAATATCTACAGATAGTAGTACACCAAATCGTATCTGCCAAATATCTACAGATAGTAGTACACCAAATCGTATCTGCCAAATATCTACAGATAGTAGTACACCAAATCGAATCTGCCAAATATCTACAGATAGTAGTACACCAAATCGTATCTGCCAAATATCTACAGATAGTAGTACATCAAATCGTATCTGCCAAATATCTACGGATAGTAGTACACCAAATCGTATCTGCCAAATATCTACAGATAGTAGTACACCAAATCGTATCTGCCAAATATCTGCAGATAGTAGTACACCAAATCGTATCTGCCAAATATCTACAGATAGTAGTACACCAAATCGTATCTGCCAAATATCTACGGATAGTAGTACACCAAATCGTATCTGCCAAATATCTACAGATAGTAGTACATCAAATCGTATCTACCAAATATCTACAGATAGTAGTACATCAAATCGTATCTGCCAAATACCTACAGATAGTAGTACACCAAATCGTATCTGCCAAATATCTACATATAGTAGTACACCAAATCGTATCTGCCTAATATCTACGGATAGTAGTACACCAAATCGTATCTGCCAAATATCTACAGATAGTAGTACACCAAATCGTATCTGCCAAATATCTACAGATAGTAGTACACCAAATCGTATCTGCCAAATATCTACAGATAGTAGTACACCAAATCGTATCTGCCAAATATCTACAGATAGTAGGACACCAAACAAAATAAAATGGGTGTTTTTAATTTTAAAATTTCAAGCACATACTTTTTTTAGATGAAATAAATGAAAGCACATACCGATCAGAGAGAAAATAATTGCCAGTGCGAGCATTTTAATTGACCTTGGTGGAATCTCTAATGTGCGAGATCTGGGACTCGACAACCTGAAGATCGGACCAAGGTGGTCATGGGGGTAACACAACCATGATTTTAAAGACCTTATATACATGTGGTGCTGGAAAAACCAGCTGTTATTCTGTCAAGTGCAATCCTCTTCAACTAAATTTTATGGTAATATGGCCTTCCTTTAATACATGCATTAGACAACATAGCACAAGGGTTTCTTGTGCAGGTTTATTGCCTAAATTCTATTTTTTTAGGCCAGATGTTGATTTTCTCCCCGATAAATTCTTAGCTATAAAGTATCTCTCTATATATGTAAAGGAATGTCTGTATGTATGTCTGTCACGTATGCGCTTATGACTTCTTACAAACATTTTACAATACTCCGTTTTTGGGCCGGGGCCCTAAATTTGTTCTTTTTTCTTATATGGGCTATGAAAATAGTGTTTCCCTATGCTCTCTTAACCATCCATCCGATTGCGATCAAACTTTGTTGAATTGATGTGTGCGCACCAGCAAAGTGTGTGCCTTTTGGTTGGCCTCTGACGTGTGTGTGTATAGGGGATGAATCAGATTCTTTGGTTGGCAGTGATAAGTTGAGGAAACCAAATGATAGAAAAATTAAAATAACAATTATTCCCTGCAACAAGGCAATGATGTCTTAATTCCTAAGGAATACGTGTTGAATGAAAAAATCTTGGTTATTTGTAGGAGACACGCTAGGCGAGACATGAGTTTTGAAGGTTTTGAAGAGGAAAGGGGCCAAGAGGTGTGGTAGTAGTTAAATGAATATTTGTATGAGAGCATGATAAATTGTGGATTTTATTGAGCAAGCTAATAAACATTGTCGTAAATTGAGCCAGTCACGTTTATTCCGAAATAAATTCAAATCTAAAAGTACGAAATCTAAGGTCATAAAAATTGATTGCTGCTGCAAAGTTCTTAGTGAATACCAATTAGTGCATTATCGAACGTTTAAAAACATGTAAATGTTCTTCTGTGAGAGACATAAAATTTGCATGTGGGCATTTCTTCCTTGAGTGCTAAGCTGTTGATGCCAGATGTCAACTAAATATTGTTTAAAAAAATAAATTGATATTTTGAATAAAATTTAAATTTTAAAGCTACCATAAAAAAAACCTTTATATTTATATTTTAATAATAACGGCATTTATGTTAAGGGAAGTCTTTCACAACTGGTAGGATTCTGTTGTTATAAGCACATCACTTACGAGACTTTTGTTTACGAAAGGGCACACATTGTTCGTTTCCGGCTGTTATTATTAATTAGGTTTTTCTCAACCTGGTAAGCTCTCACCAGGAGGGTCTCCAATGTTGCGTTTCAATGGGTTTGCGCGGAGTATTGAATATAAGACCAAAAAAACAATTGACTTACAGCTAATTTCATGCATCCATGCCATCCTTCCATCCATACAGTCACAGAATCCAACTACTTAACAATCAGCCATCTGACCAGAGTCTATTTACCTTAGTCTAATCTGCCATGTTGACTGAAAGAGTGGTTTAAAAATGATTCACAATTCTATAGTTCTTTTAAAAAAATTAACGGGATGTTACGCCATCTCACAAATACCTGCATTCCATTACCTTATATCGTGTACAAGCTGATGACGTGGTACCACGTGACGTGGTTGATCAGGACAGGTATTCACAAGGAAAACGCTCAAATTAAAATCGCAGATTGCACCAAGATTCCCCCACCTTCTTTCTGCGTCCAGTGACAGCTCCTGGCAATCTTCTTTAAACGAATATTTATAGCGATGAACCCCCCCCCCCCCCATGTTACATCCGCCTGAGAAAACTGTAATGGCCGACTTGCTGTGAGCAGGTTTCGACCTGAGTCCTGTCTCACGTTGTCTGGAATGCAATTGTTGCCCGGTGTGCTCCAGATTTTATTCTCCTGGAAACGTAGAGTTGGATGGTTGAAAAAATCCCTTGGACTTTGAACTAAGATTTAGATCAGCCCTCGACGCTTCGCTCAAATCCTGATTTCCAGCGAGCACACTGACATCATTTAACTTATCTCCAGTCAAGACACCACTCGCTAATCTTTTGGTACGCACATACATATTTAGCAATGACAAAATCTTGGCAGGACGAACAAAGGGGGGGGGGCAGCCAATCACGATGGCATTTCTAGTAAGAAAGATGAAAGCGATCACTTACTTTTGTCCAACAGTTGTAAAGGAGTTCATGCATTTCCTCCAATGGGTTCAAATAGAGATGTTGATAAATATAGTTTTGGACAGGTTTTAAGATGGATCTATACCGATCGCATGATTGTGTGTACTGTCGGTAATGATTCGCCTCAGTTGTACAAACACATTATCCTTTCCCTGGTTCCACAAGAACATTAAAACTGGCTAACATGACTCTGGCTGCACTTGGATCTTATGGCATGTTGCAAAAGATCAAGTTTTGTTTGGTCTTCCAAAACATTATCATTGTCTCATTAGAGCAAGTCAACATGATATTTCATGAACCGAAATGTGGAATATAAAAGTATTTCTTCTTATTACACATTTTTGACATAAAAATATCTCATATCATTTAAATAATACTTATAAAATGTATGTATGATCTTCGTGGGTCTTAGTTTGCAAATCGCGTAAGAATCCAAAAGATTTGACCCCTGGTCACAAGTTTCTCCCAGATGTGATGCGGTGATGGTGTAGACCAGGCCTGCACAACATACGGCCCGACAGCATCCTCTTTGTTGCCCGCGAAGTTACGAAATATTCTTTCTTATTATTATTTTCTTAATAGCCCCTCCCCCCCCCAACCTGTTCTATTTTTCTATTTGCCCGCACAAGCCCTGTCCTATTTTCTTTTGGCCCGCACAAGTTTTTCATAAAGGATTTTATCCCGGGTAAAACTTAGAGCTGTGCAGGCCTTGTGTAGACTGTAGACGAAAATTCTTTCTCACGTGCTTGAGCGTAACATTTTCCTCCACGTCACTGGTCTACAGAACTTTCATCATTTTATCTCTGAGCCATTTACTTAAACAATATGACCAAGTATTTGATATACATGACCAAGTATTTGATATATATGACCATGCAATTGATAAATATGACCAATCATGTAAAAACAAGAGACCTTTTTTTAAAAATGTGTTACTCCTTCTTGTTTGAGTTGCATTCCAATGACAGAATTTCACTTTTTTGATAACCTGTCAAATGTATTTCATTATGTTTTTTTTTTCAATTGTAAATATTTATATACGGTACAGGTAAAGACGTTTGTAAGTGAACATTTGTTGACGATCATGCCAGATTCAATCGTTTAGCCAACATTTAGGAGGGGCAACATTAAGAAAATGATCCTGGAAGCAGCCTTTCATCGAACAGTTTTACCTTCACCCCCTGAGTTATTCCATGTTGCTCTTCAATGACTTTGTTTTAACGTTAAAAGAAATGGACGTAACCGGGAATTCCGTAACAATCAATGCAAACCTCCTAAAAAAACTATCAAGAAAACCCAGCATAGTAAAGCGACAATAAGAATCTATATATATATAATTCGCCAGCTAAGGTCAAACAGGACGATGACTATTTATAGATACGCCAGAGTGTGGTTCAATAATGAATTCACTAGCGCGTAAAATATAATTCCCGATAACTACGCTAAATGATATATTTACCACAGAAAGTTAATTATTTGTCAAATTCATTCTGAGGCGTATCTTGTGCTGCCTTGGGCTAATGAAACTATCGTATTACTCCCCCCAACCCCCTGCCCCCAAACCAGAGTTTAAGAAAAAATTACACACGAGACTGTAACCCCATTACTTACTCAATTTTTTTTTACCACTTCACATGCGTTGTTCTTATTTGGATGAGTGATAAGTGCTTTAGTGAATGCTATTTGGGTATGTAGTTTTGCTGCACTGATTGCATTAAACGACCTTTTCGTATTAAAGTATTTGTAAATGTTAAGATTTTTTACTACTTTATACATTTCATTAAAGTTTGTTTTTGTAGAAATAATAAAAAGTAAAAACTTATTAAATGTTAAAAATTCAAAGCTAAAGTTGTATTTAGTTTTAGAAAATTTTTTGCAATTGAAAAAGCCATCTTTTATATTTTTATTAATTTTACTTTTAAGAAGGGGAAAAAACATGATCATTCTTGTCACGCACGGTTATAAAATCAAAGAAACTTAGAGCTGTGGCTAAAATAGGCAATCGCGCGATGACGTCATTTTCATAATTATTTAGATCAAATTAATTTTATTTTTGTTTCGCAATATTAACAAAGCACTAAAATACGCAATAATAATCAAAGATGTTTGTGTTTTCCCCATAAATGTTATTAATGCAATTCTTATATCAAAATATTTTGATTCATATTTTTTTCATAACTATTACATTCGGATTAAATGCTTAAAATAGTTTCTTAGTTGATACTTGAAATGTATTTGTAATTTATAATAATAATACTTAAAGTTTTAATAAAATAAAAGCGATTTCAAAATATTTTTTGCTCATTTAAATTTATTAGATTTCCGTAAAATAATAGAAAATAACTATGATATATATATATATATATATATATATATATATATATATATATATATATATATATATATATATATATATATATATATATATATATATATATATATATATATATATATATATATATATATATATATATAAAAAAATAAAAAAAAAATATAATATATATATATATATATATATATATATATATATATATATATATATGGTCAATTAATTTTGCAAGATCTGAAACGATAACTCTGTAACCCAGTTGGATGATAATAAGAGTTAAAGGACTTGGCAGTCAAGTGTGAAAAAAGGATGTATCACCATTTTGAAAGGGAAGAAAATAATATTATAACAATTTGAAAAATCCACAACACAATTACATTTAAGTTAATAAAGTAAAAAAATTGTAGTTTCATTTTTTTTTCTTCCATTCTTTGTATACTTTATTTTATTTAAATTTGAATCAAAATTAAAATAAATTATTTACCCCAAAGTTAAATCTCGATTTAATATGTCAGTTTTAATATATATACTGACCCCA